CCCCTCCCCCCTACCCCCACTGTACGGGGACCCCCCCCCCACTGACCACCAATGTAAGGGGGGACACTCCTCCCACTGACCACCAATGTAAGGGGGGACACTACCATTTTCGTTCCTGGACATGAATATGATGTGTTCTGTGTTTTTATATGGAGGGGCTCCACGTGTCCGGGGGCCACATTCCTTATCCTTATATATCTCAGCTCACTGAGGGCCCCGTGGCTGTAGTAATTACTCTCAGGGGCTCCTCCGTGGTAGGAAGGTTTGGAGAGGTCGGTGGAATGTGCCGGGTGAGCCGGGAAGGGCAGACGTGACTCAGGCACGGCGAGGGTTAATCGGCACAGACGGTTTGGGGGTATTAGTGATCCGGATTAGGCCGGGATTAGTGTCACCGTCTGTCACCGCCGAAGGGACAGAGCCCCTGTGTGCAGGGACAGAGCCCCTGTGTGCAGGGACAGAGCCCCTGTGTGCAGGGACAGAGCCGCTACGTGCAGGGACAGAGCCCCTACGTGCAGGGACAGAGCCGTTGTGTGCAGGGACAGAGCCGCTGTGTGCAGGGACAGAGCCGCTGTGTGCAGGGACAGAGCCCCTATGTGCAGGGACAGAGCCGGTGTGTGCAGGGACAGAGCCGGTGTGTGCAGGGACAGAGCCGCTGTGTGCAGGGACAGAGCCGCTGTGTGCAGGGACAGAGCCCCTGTGTGCAGGGACAGAGCCCCTGTGTGCAGGGACAGAGCCCCTATGTGCAGGGACAGAGCCCCTATGTGCAGGGACAGAGCCCCTGTGTGCAGGGACAGAGCCTCTATGTGCAGGGACAGAGGAACTATAAACAATAACAGAGGTCTTCAGGAAACATGATATATTTTTTATTCCATCATAATATGAATTCATAGAGATGAGGGGTCTGCGGGGCCCCTACATGCAGGAACCGGCTCCCAGGATCATACATCTTTGGATGAGGGGTCCGGAGCAGCTCTGTGCGCAGGGACGGGGTCAGGAGCCTCCATAACAGACAAACGGCAGGTCCCGGCCGCAGCACTGGGAGCTCCAGGTGAAGTTCTGCATTGGGTCCCCGGAGATCATTCCACACGATTTGGAGAGCGGGTCGTCGGGCTCCCCAGCGCCCCAGTAGCTGAACGCCCCCCATTTCTGCCGCCCGCTCCAGTACCACTGACTCCGGAAGCGGTTGTTCCTCAGCCCGATCCAGAAACCTGTGGCGGGCGTGTAGGGTGACAGAAGGGCGGCCATGTTGTCCTGCTCCTGTGCAGACGATACCGCTGCCAGGTCAGTAAAATTACTGCGGCAGTACGAGCGAGACTGCGACCAGGACATGGGGGTCTGTACCACGTGCAGCAAACCTGGGGAGAGAGGACAGCACATGAGAGCTGGGGGCGCGGCCACACGAGAGCTGGGGGCGCGGCCACACGAGAGCTGGGGGCGCGGCCACACGAGAGCTGGGGGCGCGGCCACACGAGAGCTGGGGGCGCGGCCACACGAGAGCTGGGGGCGCGGCCACACGAGAGCTGGGGGCGCGGCCACACGAGAGCTGGGGGCGCGGCCACACGAGAGCTGGGGGCGCGGCCACACGAGAGCTGGGGGCGCGGCCACACGAGAGCTGGGGGCGCGGCCACACAGGGGGTCCTGGGCCAGTGGAAGACATTACACGTCATGGGGGTCTTTGGGGTGCAGCGTTCTAAAGACCAAGAGGGGCCGATCTATAAAGTGTACGGCTGGGGGAATCCCGTGCGCGCTGCATTGCCACCACTGGAGTGGAAGAGCATGGAAATCCCTTGGCGCCACCTAGTGGTGGGAATGCTGTGTGGACGGTAATGGGAGCTCTGCATCCCACATTGCGGTGATGGTGAAGTCCCTGTTATTTTGCATACACCGGTTAGGCCTCTTATCCCCGATGATCCCTTTCCTGCTGCTGGACAGTTGACACTATTGCATCCCCTGCTGTCCCCAAGTCCCGTAGTGAAGGCCCAGCCTGGGCTCTGTGTCTTTGGTCAGGTTCCCTCATCCTGGCTCAATGTTTGGCATGCTCACGGGTGCCACCTATCCCGCCGGGCCCCTCAGCAGTCACATGGTCTGCAGAGGCCCCGGAAATGGGCCGCCGACCCCCCGATAAGGAAAGCGGCTGGTTCGGGGCATGTAGGACTCTGGTGGTTGGAGAGGAGGAACGGACCAATCAATAAATATAGGAAAGGTGTATGAGACAATCGCCGAGCATACCTGAGGCCGCCCCCATCTCCTGGCTCGTCCACACTCGTGGCGCGGGGGTGGAGCCGGCAGGACCTGCCAGGAAACAAACTGTATTAATAAATGGGGCAGCTGCCCGATCAGCGGTTTCCTAACACCCAGAATGCACCTCATGTCACTGCGAACCCGAACCCAAGATTGGTAAAGCATCGCACCAGGACGACGGGCAGGGAGGGCGACGGGCAGGGAAGACGACGGGCAGGGAAGACGACGGGCAGGG